GATTATGTGGACGGTAGGCATAGCATATAAATAAATAAATAAATATATATATATATATATATATATATTTAGTATACTATTCATATATTCAGTACTGTGTAAATGCGTAACGATTATATATTAACTTGCATTGAACTGGTCGAGTTGCTCTTTTGGACCAACGCCAGACAAGAGGAGGATGTGAGGAGAGCCGATAGTTCCAGATCACTTCCCGAGACGCTCTCGCCTGTTTCTTCTCGGCACCATGGATAAACTGCAAGCCTACCGCCCTCTTACCCTCGAACATCACCTAGTGATTATTACAATATTAAGAGCAAGATCTCAATAATTAAACTAATAATATAGATGTCTCATGGTGATATATGGTTCTTTTACGAGTAGAGATAGAGAAATGAGATGATGAGAGCAGAAAGTGCACGTACCTGTTTATATAGAGTAACTATCAGTTTTGTATCATCTAAAATTAGTACGAAAATTATATAAATATAATTAAGTACGAGATCGAATGTATTTAACGTAATGTAAAAATATTATTACCTTGGAGACGTGGGCGTGAGTTATGACGTGCAGATTTGGTCTGCTTGCGACAGGTTGTAGGTAAACTTTGGCAGTGTGTGCGCGGGTGCCATCTCTGATGTTTGCATGTGCCTTCATAACCCCTAAAATTTTATTTTATTTACAAGTATTTTACAAAAAATAGGATTACAAATATAGCTATATGCATGCGTGGTTATAAATATTTCACTTGATAATAATAAGAAATATAGATCCCGAGTTAAATAAGAATACCATACATATATTCAAGAGCGTATTAAGAAGGAGAGCGTACAACGGTGAAATGCTGAAACCATGTTGCAGTATTAGTCGAATTAAGAAACCGATATTTTAATGATTATTTGCGGTATTATTGATCAGCTGTCCTACCTTGCTAATATAAAACAAACCGCTTGTCCCTACGATGCCCCTACACTGAGATAATGAGCGGTGAAAATCTGGTATTTTTGCCGAAAACCGACTCGAGATCCCGGTTGGCTGCGACCCTCTCTCGCTTTGGGATAGCTTCGGGAAACCTCGCGTGTTTCCGTCAATGATTGACAAATGGAATGAATGACGTCTGATATTGATTGCCATAGTGATGACCCCATCCTGTGCCCACCTCACGCTGGATGTAGTAAACTCTGTACTAATGATGTAATGAGTCAGCGCTACCATCGCGCTACACAGCAGCGACCGGAAGCAACATACTGACCACAGAACGAGAGAGGGTCGCAGCCAACCGGGATCTCGAGCAGGTTTTCGGCAAAAATACCAGATTTTCACCGCTCATTATCTCAGCGTAGGAGCATCATAGGGACAAGCGGTTTGTTTTATATTAGCAAGGTAGGACAGCTAATCAATAATACCGCAAAGAATCGTCAAAACAAAACGGACAAAGTTTATTAATTCGACTAATACTGCAACATGGTTTCAGCATTTCACCGTTGTACGCTCTCCTTTTTAATACGCTTTTGATATAATGTGTTTACCATAGGGGCTTGCTCCATTTATATCGCCAACTCTATAGCCTAACTCTCGCGCTGCGTCCAGAAACAAATTCCCAAGTTCCGTGTAGGTGGATTGAGTGATAGTTAGAGGTCCTCTAACGCCGTGGTACTCTGTGAAAGACATAGTATTTCTCTATCATCGCCCAAATGGAGCTTTCATCTTAGTAATTCCCCTGTAAAGTTAAACTAATGCTTTCCTAGTATCGCTTGCTATTATATTTACTATATATCATTATATATATTATGTATGTTCATTTCATAGTTTATCTATTATCTACACTCAAACCCTCACTCGTCTATTGACTAGATATTCACGCTCATTTCAAAAGTTAGAGTGAAGTATATAAACGTACTAGAGTTCTTTAGATCAGGTATCTTTACGTTCTCTGACTTTTTAAAGAATGGAAGTACGTTTTCATAACTCCATCCCGATGCTCCCATCTTCTCCCACTTGTTATAATCTTCAGGGGATCCACGAGCATAAACAATAGCATTTATGCAGCTGCTGCCTCCAAGTACCTTTCCTCTTGACCACAGGCTTTGCTGATTGTAATAAAACATCAATTATGTAATGTGTATGTGTAATATCATAGCGCTTGCGACCGTATTAAATGTAGGTATGTAATGTATTAGTAAAATGTTCGGTTCTCAATACATGTATTATGTAACGTGTATATGCACTATCACAGCGCTTGCGATAATGGAACCATATAAAATAGCAAAAAAGAATAGTGTGATTTTTTCCGGTCCCATTTTTCCTTGTGGCATTTCATTTCGGATTTCTATTAGATTATATGTCGTAGCAATAAAAATAAAGGCCTACAATTACATGATATTCTTGATTATATGTTGTGCTTGGGCTAAAAACACGTTGAAGCTACCTTCTTCTCGCAGGCCTGGCATGAGAATTTCTGCGGCACTGTCATGTAGCGCCAGTCAACCTTTGTGTTTTTCAGAAACGCATATGAAGCTGGTCTATCTATGTCCTTGTTACCCTCAGGCAGCCCACCGGCCTCCACTAGCAGTACTTTCACATCAGGGTCCGCAGACAGACGGTTAGCGAGCACACATCCTGCCGTCCCTCCTCCTCCTATTGAGACACAATAGAAAGTCAATTAGACTAAGCTAAATTATATTATTTGTCAAGATGTCGAGCTCGATACTGACGGATTAACATTGTAATCTGATCGACTATATTTAATATTTATTGCCAAATATTTCCAACAACTGTAGCACAGCAGTACTATGTCATTCATCATTGATGCATTATATTGATCTATCTATCGCTAGCTATCGTATCCTATTGAACTATCTTCCAAAATGTGAAAGATTCCCTTAAATGAAATATTGAAAAGGGAGATTAAAGAGGATTCTGATTAGGTCGGCATATCATATCTCTTTTATTGTCAATCAAATGCTGCTTACTGATTACTGATTACTGATCACGCGCGTATCTGCTTTAAATGTCTGTGCGACTATTCTTTAGGCCACTGATGTTGTCCATGTATTTTTTACAAACATTTCGTTTAGCTGGCTGGATAGCTGGCTGGATGTTTTTCTGAAATGCCCGATATCTATATGCATGCCTTTGTGTGACGCTTATTGCTATCCTGTACGTGGTACTTGCTCCGTTTAGATGGAAGAACCGCCCTATTTATTACTGATTGCTTTTGACTATATTTAACGATGGAATTCGACAAAAGACACATTATTCCATCGATGGACAGGTTACCCTGTTGCTGTAAAATATTGCAGAGCTAGGTGTGGCCGGGCTATATATATACTCACCGATAATATAATCGTAGACATCGTCGGGATCCTCTACGCTGTATGTGACGTTCTGCCCGCTTCTCATGTACATCACTGCTGCAAGCAGCACGACCAGGGAAACCAGTCCCTTGTCCATAATGCTAATGACCGTTTCTTATACAAAATGCGCCGACGAGCCCTCCCTTACTGAGCTCTAGCAACATCGGAACTCTTCGTAGGAAGAGTTGGTTATGGAGTGTTTACATGTACAAACGCGGCCTGGACAGGCAAACTCCACGACAGATGGCGCTCTCACTTATGGGCTCAATCTGCTACTACATGGGCTCAATGGTATCCTGAGTGTGCGAAGGGAAACACTGCATGCAGTTTGCCGGACAGGCTGGGCCAAAGGTGCCTATATCTGAAGGACATTGCCAAAGAACTGGACTATCGTGAAAAGCCTTTGATAATATTTACACGCACTAGATAAGAATGGATTTACTGCTCTTCTGTGTGCCTTACATGAACTCATATTTGATATTTATTCGCACGCACGTCGCTGTGCACAAACAACTTTGTTTTGACCATGTACCAGACAATCTGGCTACGTTAGTGTGTTCGCGCATGTGCAATATCTCACCAGAGGAGTTACATTTTGTGATGAATATACATTTAAAATGGTTAGATAGCGGATATCTCAGCATAGCGTTCCGTAATAAACGTTTATCAGTAGACCTGTGTTTATAATTAGGAGAGCGCCCTAGCATGTAAGGTACAAAACACCTACTTTATGCTCTCGCGTCCTTCCCCTTGCCTGTCCCTCGCTCAGCCTCTTTCTTCTTCTACCGCCGCCACCATCTTTCCTGCCGCCTTTCCTCAGTCTCCCATCCCCTCTCCCCCGCAGCAAGCTATATTGTGAAGTTTGCCTCAGATGGCACTGCACGCCTAACACGGTGCGCGCATGCGCAATATCTCCCGTGAGAAATCGCATTTTGCAAAGATTATGCGTTTAAAATGAAGAGGAGTTATCCTAGCATAGATTTATATGATAACATTCCATCAGTTGACACCATTTAAGAAATAGGAGGAAGACTTTGAATGTAAGGTCTCTGCTGCGTATACCAGCCAGTACAGAATCTGACTACGTTAGTGTGTTACCGCACGCGCAATATCTCACCAGATG